AAGACTTAAAAACTAGAATACAAAGTGTTCTTGTTGTGCACAGGAAAATGATTTGGGTACTAGCTGTGGATGTGTTTCCTGACCTGTTTACAGCCCTCCACATGCATTTAATTCTGCAACGCTGGTCATTCTGACTTTGCGGTTCAGTCAATGTAAAGAAAGGCCAACTTAAAGCCTCAGTGGTTCCCATGGACCGGGACACATTAACCCTTCATGCTCATTAGCCATGTGAGCAGGTCCTGAATAGGTGGACAGGCCTCTGGTTGGAAGAAGAGGAAGGAGGGTGGTGGGGGTGGGGGGGGAGAGTAAATCAAAATCCACTCGGCTCTTGGCAGCGGCCGTGTCAACTGCTGTGTTGTTGTGCAAAGCAGATAATGTGATTTCCGGCCCACAGCGAGGTAAAACTCCTTAAGATGAACTCCCAAGAGGGGCGATTTTCTAAAAAACACTGGACCGAAAAAGCTCACATTCAATAGAGCTCTGATCCGTTCAGGATGCGACAGGCGCCGTCCAGCTCCATTAAAGTGGCAAAAGACTCAAACAAGTGAAGACACAGGAGAAGACACTGTGCTTCTCTTTCAAAGATGGTGTGAGGAGATGAAATGTTGTAGGCCAGTGGAACCGAACAGCAATGAACTAAGCAGGTTGGTTCAATTTCCAGACACATTTTATAGATGTAGTGTCTTACAAGAAGTCTTACTTCAACCTACTCGTGTGTGAATCACGGCTCAACATATTCCACCCTGCCACACCCATAATTATATGAAACACGCTACTTTGCCACAGTTCTGTCTTTAAAGTCGAATTGAGATCGCAGAGTTTACAGAAATATCAAGATGTCCGGCACAATTACCAGCAGTTACTTCATAAAAATGTGCTATTTTCCATTTATTGTGATGGTGCAACAATTTAAAACTGCCATCTTGTGTTTGAATATTTTGCTCAAGCTATGGTAGGCCAAAAATAAGAATAAGAATATGATATTGTTTTACGGATTCAAAAAAGGTATTTGTGTATATTTGAAGCAATGAACTGGGGAAAAATAAGGCTATTCGAGTTTTTAAGAGCTAATTTAACCGGACAGTGACGTAGTGGCTGATTCACACAACCACACCTCCTGATTCATCTGACTTTAACTTGAGTTGAGGTTGATGACGGAGCATTTGTGTTCAGTCTCAACCTTGTATCCAGCCAATCCAGTGGCCAGAAAAAAACACTGACATCAGCGCCTCTATAACTCAGCGATCGTTAGATCATTGGTTATAATAACCGACGTTAGCTGTGGAGAGCGAGAGAGTATTTGTTCTGGTTTTAGACCTACTTTGTTAACTTTCGGTGTCTTTGTAATGTACAAGTAATGGACATTCATATACATTTAATTATTGTCTGTGTTATCTGGGGTGTGCATGGCTTCCTAACTATCTTATTTATCTGTTACTGTTTGTATTTCTGTATCATGTAGTCTGTATTTCTGTCCTGACAACAGAAAGCTTTGCACTCCGAATATGTCTGTGGTGTCTTGAGACTGTTTCCGCTCCGACTCTTAAAGAGTTGTCTAACTGACATAAATATATTCGAAAACGCATTACGTCCGCTGGTTTTTCAGCGTCGCGATAGAACCGATGTAGAAACAATGTAAACGATACACATGTTTTGATCCTTTGATATGTTCATACCGGCCCCGGCCCGAACCTCAACCATGGAGGTGGCAGATCAGAAACCAGTCCATTAATGTATGTATGTGTGTTTATTTAGGTACAAAGAGAAACTCGTCCACCCTGCATGCCATACCGTGATGTCTTCAGCTCATCATTCAACCCATCACATGAGGCTTTTACTGAACAACCAGCAGTTATAAGATGTGACTTTGTTAAAAGTGCACACAGCCACGCTCACATTTACCAATCTGGCTAAAAAGCAAAAGATCAAACTGCGATGAGTCAATGCTGTTTGCAGACTGTTTCAATTAAAAAAACGTCTCTTTCTGTGGGTGGAGAAGCAGACACCACTATTCCATTTATGCTAATGTGGGTTTCTCCTCTCTGATGCTTTGACTCAGGCTGACAACAGTGTTTTGGATAATGATCCCAGTGCAGCTTTAGAAGAAAGGCCTTTAGACGGCTGGTAAATTGTGTTTGTGTTTTCAGCAAACTGCCCTCACATGCTGCCACGATAGACCAAACTTTCTCCATCAGATGTCGTCTGTAAAAGCAAAAAACACAAAGCACATCTGGTTTACTGGCTCGGCGGTTCTCAGGTGAGATCTGGTGGAATTTAAAGCATGTGGATATTTGGTTTAGTTGAACATGAAGGCGTCAGACTGACAATCCTTCACTTTCATCGTCTACAAGCTGACATGCTAATGGATAAAAACTCAAAAGATTGGCCAACTAAAAGGCAAGAGAGAGCATGCCAATTACTGTTGGTTCTAATTCATGTTGGTTTTGTCTTTTAATGACAATTGTTTGCAATAACAAAAACATATATGTTATCATCAAAGCCGCCTTCCATGGTGTTAATGGGAACCTTGTGTTCTTGTGTTTTCACAAATGCACATTTTATAAGGTTCAAGTCTTGAAAACATCAACCAAATTTTCCAAACATGCAACATCCAACAGTGTGTGGTTTGGAAGTGATTTGGCCGTCGCTATCTTCGTTTTTTGCAACCGGTGAACAGAAGTTACCATATTTGGACTGTGGGGGAGGGACGTGTCTATAAACTGTATATAAAGAGTGGAAGTACTCGCTGTGACGTCACTCGTTGGTTTGTGGACTGTGGTTTAAAGCCTTGAGTTTAGCATTTTTTGCAACCGGTGAACAGGAAGTGACCATATTTGGACTGAGGAGGAGTGACGTAGAGACGCCGTATACATCCCTGCTAGAGACCTGTCAATCACCGTGTAGCCCCGCCCTAAAGCATCCCCTGCTTTATGGTCTGTGTGACTCTAAATGGACCATAATGTACTAAATGAACATCATGCTGTATTGAAGAAGACTTGAAACGAGGGATTGAGACCATAAACTCATGTTTACAATGTTTACTGAGGTAATAAATCAAGAGAGAAGTAGAGTCATTTTCTCATAGACTTCTATACAACCAGAGGAGTCGCCCCCTGGTGGACACTAGAGAGAATGCAGGTTGAAGACACTTCCGCAACGACATTTTTCAGAACCGGAGGTTGCCGTCTGGTTCTGAGGAATGTCAGTGTGTGACGAGTTGGGATGAGAACGTGTTGCAAAGCCCCATGGGAGCTTATGGTTTTTAACTGACCTTGTCAACAAGAATCTGTGTGGACCATCCACAACTTCTATACAAAAGTATAGTATGGACCTTCATATGGGTCAAACCCTTGGTCTGAGGGACGTCCGTCCAACAATGCATCGAGCTTTACTGGGCAGCCGCTGGCCAAACTGGGTGTGTCTTCACAGCACAGCTTGAGTCAGCAGAATACCAAAGTGGATGAATGAACGTGTTTTCATCTGCGGTCGGACTTCGGTCGGAGAAGAGCTGAGGTATCAAGACTGTCTCTTCTCATGTGATGGAAGACTGCATGGGACAGCAGAAATCTGCTGGAGCAAAGGGAGACATTCAAGAGACAACAGATGTCCATCCAGTCCATCATCCAAATACAATGAACAGACTGACAGTAGGAAAGTAACATTTCAATATCTATACTGCTTGAAAACCTGAATCATGATTCAGCATATTCTTATATATATATATATATATATATATACTTTATTTTATACAGCTAGATGAATGTATACATAGTATACAATACAAAACACAACTGATAAAAAATAACATCAACGGTACATGATGTGAAAAAAAAGAAAAACTAACTGTACAATGCCATCTTTACAGATGGCAGAATTGGTCCTCTGAACAGAATCAGACTGGAAAGTGATGTAATTTCCTGTTGAAGGACGTGTTGCGTTGTCGGTTTAAAAGGTTTAAAAATAGTTATCTATTATTCCGCAGTGTCTGATGCATTGAAGTGTGAAATTGGAAGTGTTGAAGGTTTGGATCTGAAGAAACGTTGAATTATTTTCTGTCGGTGAATTTGGTAAACATGTAACAATGCTTATTAACCAAGTGCAGTAACCAATGGAAGGAAAACAATCCCGTGATGCAAAGTACAGCAATACGTCTTTGATTGTGTTTCAGGGTGGATTTTCCCTTTAATTTCACCTCGGATGTGTTTCATAGAGGAGATTTCCAAAACAGCTCACGAATGATTGATAACTATAGATGATACTATAAATTAATGATGTGCATACAATGATATGCTGGCGCGATGCAGAATGTCTGCTCATTAAGGGTGAGGCGATGAAGCCTGTGAGGGTTGAATGCTACGAGCCAACATGTTTTTATCCAGCGAAACTGAGCAAACACAAAGTGATGCAACGAACAATCTATTTTAATGGCCTGAAAACTGTGTTTTAATTTAGCACTTTGAACGCCCGGATTATTGTGATGCCGACGAAAGTTAAACTGAAGTCGGGTATATCTGTGGAAACATTTAATTTATTTTTTATCTAATGTATTTTTGGTATGTATTTATGTATTATTGCCAATATGGCAGTATTTAAGTGCCTTAAAGGTTAAAATAAGAATTATGGCCAATGAACAACTGTTGAAGGTTTGTTATTTTTAAAATGAATGAACAAAAATAAGTAATTGTTTTGCATTTTCTTTGTTTTCCCTTTGCCTAACTGTGAATGTTGGGTACGTTACACCCCAACCTTCCACTAAGCATCAAATCAGCTTAAACTATCTTTGGTTTTTATTTTTAAACAACTAATACATTGCATGTTCATGTTTGTCAGTTATATAAGAAGGAGACTTTAGCCGGAGAGTTAATGTGGTTGTTGTTGTGTGGTTGAACGCTGGAGTTTGTTTGATTTGTTTGTTTGAATGGTCTCCCTCTAAATAGGCGGATAGCTATCAGGATTGCATCAAATTAATATAAAACTAGGGGGCGACATTATGAAACCAAAACAATATCAAATATGAATTTTTCCCCTTTTGGTTTCAGAATTGTTCTCAAAGAAGACAGTGATTTACAGAAAGCGGCTCAGAGAGGTGTCTCTCACCATACTAAGGCTTTTTAAAAGTTATAATTCTTTGGCAACAGAGAACAAACAGCTCAGCGTTGGTCGGTTTTGTTTTTTTACACAGAACAGACAATTATGTTTGAATATTGTAAAAAACAGCGGCTGGTTGACTGCCCCACGGAGACATTACCAAGGCGTGGATCGTTACATAGATCCAACTGATCAACGACAAAATTTGCAATTAGTTGTTTGCAGCCCTAAATTATTCTGTACCAGAAACCACCAATAGCACTGAATCAAGAACAAATAAAACAACAAAACGATGTAGAAACTGCATGGACCCATCAGGTCGTGGATGTTGCTTGAGTGATACAGTACTGTGTTTCACATTTTGAGAAGTTTTTCAGTGAAAAATATCAATTCACAGGTGGGATTCTGAGGTTATACCTCACCACGCTTCGTCTGTTGTTGTCCTGCACTTTCAGTTCTCTTTTGCTTTTGCAAGGTCTTCCCATGCGAGTAACGATACCAATAAACCACGTTTGTTTGCAGACGTGTGTGGTCACTGTCTCTGCATCTTCCCTCCGCCGTGACTCTCTGTACATGCTCAGGCATCTGTCCTGGTAGAGGTAGACCAACGGTGAGTCAAACCTGAGGCAGATGGTTTGACAGTTTACAAGAAGACAGCTCTCCTATCTAAACAGATGTCTGTCTTTTTTAAACAATGGAGGGAGACCCTCTCCGTCTCCGTTGGATTTCTTCGGTGTAGCAGATGCCCCTTCAGGCAGCATTGGAGAGTGTTTCCAACCAACGCAGCCATGGGATCATTATCACGCAGATTCGGGCGTGAAGGTTCGAGTCAAATCGTCAATTTGACAAAAATACGTCCCTGGGCTGGTGTCTGTGTCTGCTTTAACATGGCTTCAGATTGCAGAGGTCCAGCTCCTGAGGCTTCCTCCTCCCAGAGCAGTGGTCTCTGGGTAGATTCAGGCCGTTCTCTGTCAAGCAGCGCACCGGACGCCTTTTGAAGCCCCTTCCACATGACTTGGAGCAGTGAGACCAGGTCCCGACGTCCCACATGGGGCACGAATCCCCACACGTTCTCACCGCTACAGGCCTGTCAGTGCCGTCACAGTCCACCGCCGGACGCCCCTCCGTGCTCTGGCAGTGCACCGCTCTCTTCTGCAGACCGTTCCCGCAAGTCACTGTGCACGAGTCCCAACTTCCTGTCACCCAGTGACTGACCGGCCTCTTACTCATCATCTGCTTCTTGGCCTCCACCCTGTTGCTGTCCGCCAGGACGCTGTTGTGCGCCGCGTGGCTTTTATCCTCTTTCCGCAGAGTCTTTTCCTCCTTGCTCTCCTTGGCGATGTAGAAGGAGTAGCGCACCCTGGGAGGAGTCATCTTCCCCACAGACAGCACCTCGACAGTCAGAGGCTCCTGCAGCGGTCGGGTGGACTGAAGAATCTCAACGGATGTGGAGGTGCCGCTGTAGCGCATCAAGCTGCCCTTCACCAGCAGGTCGCGCTCCACAGCCGACACCACGTAGTTGCCGTTCAGCAGGTACTTGCCGTGGCGGTTCTTCACCGCTAAGTAGTTCTCATCGTTGACCATCCCTCGGTAGCCGCGCTGACGGACGTCGATGTTGGAAGCTCCGACGGGCAGCATCGCCACGAAGTTGTAGCCGTGACTAAAAAGAAAAGCGTGGAGATGAAGAGCATTAATGATGCTCAATGGCCACTGGTTAGTCTTTCAAGACAATGGATGTAAATAGAACTGAAGTGACAGATGTCAAAAAAACGCTTCTAAAAACTCTTGGAATTGGATTTAAAAAAGAAAACAATATCAGTCTCCTATTCACTGTCTATGGAGCAGCTCCAGACTTTATACAGAAGGACATGAGACTTGGTGGTTTCTGGCTTAGAGTAGCTCAGGTTCGGAAATATTGATTGAACTTTCTTAGACGATGGAAATAACATATTGGAATTCTTAATTTAGAGCCAGATATAGTCGGCTAAACTTTCCTCAAACCGTTTCTCGTTAGTGTTTTGAATAAAGCAGATTGATTTCCATGAAAATATTGGGAATCACTGCCGAAAGGGGCCGATCAAACCGAGATGAGCGGCTGCGAAACCATTGTTTTTCTTTGGTTTTTCAGGCGTTTTTTAGACGTGCATAAAAGTTAAAATATTTTTCAGCACCAGGCGCGTAGTCGCACCGCTCGTCTACGTCAAACTTTACCGAGGCAGCCAATCAAATCAAGCAAGAGGCGGGCATTACAACCTTACCACTGACTTCCTGTTTTGATGCCGGTAGATCATTGATATTAGTGTTTTTTAATTACGATGAACTATATAATTTCTGCTTCACCAGCTCATCAGCTGTTTTGTCCGACTCCTCTTTTGTGACGCCTCTCGGTGTAATCGGGGCCTACGTGTGACCTAAGTGTCGTCCATTTATACCTCTATACTTGTTGAGAGTGAAGATAACGTTTAGTTATTTCTTCCTTTTCAGTAACACACAGACAGCAAAGACATCTCCATTGCAAACCTGCTCACAGCAACATAAATTTCACCTCTGCGTCGTCCGAGACCCAAAAATAAAGAGCGGCACGGCGTGTGCCGGCATGCTACTTACACAGGTTTGGTGAACATTCCCGAGACCTTCTTGCAGCCCTGGTTGGTGCCGCCACACACGCCGCACTTGTCAAACTTCCTGCTTGAGTCTAGCTTGCCATCGCAGCCCGCCTTGATGCATTTTCCTTGAACGCATACAGCCGAGGTGTCAGGAGAGCAGGGCGTCCCGTCCACCACCTGCAGGGTTTCAAGACATTACATCTTAAAGGTGGATAACATGTAAGCAAGAACAACAACAAGAGGGAAGGAAAGAGCAAGACTTGCCACATATGTGCTCCACCATATACATACTTTATTCTTCTAACTAAACAAACATAATGAACCAAAGAGGTACATAAATAGAATGTGAAAAGTATCACCAGAGGGAGTGTACAGTGAACTTTAGTGTAAACGAGATGTTGGATGGCATCGCTCCTACGAGCTTGTTTCCTTTCTGGTTGCATAAATAGTTGATGACAAGCCACAGCTGTGAGGTGATCCTGTCCCTGCATGTTTCCCCTTCTCACCACTCTCACCGCTCTCTATTAAGGCACCAACATATCACCTCTCACTAAGAATAATGGAACAAATCACACCAGGCAGTGACACGCCAAACCTTTGTGAACAGAGAGCTGTGTCTATGAAAGTTTCAACTACACCTCCTGTGAGCTTTTGACTCACCATGAGGTGTTCAGTGACAAAGAGTTCAGATTGCATTAGTGAGTACAACAGTTGATACACACTTAGCTCAGAATATAAAACACGTCTAGGAGGCAACCTCCGGTTCTGAAAAGTGAAGCCAAAGCTTCATGTCTTAAAGCTGCATTCTCTCTAGTGACCACCAGGGGGCGACTCCTCTTGGTTGCATAGACGTCTATGAGAAAATGACTCTACTTCTCTCTTGATTTATTACCTCAGTAAACATTGTAAACATGAGTTTATGGTCTCAATCTCTAGTTTCAAGTCTTCTTCAATACAGCATGATGTTCATTTAGTACATTATGGTCCATTTAGAGTCACACAGACCATAAAGCAGGGGATGCTTTAGGGCGGGGCTACACAGTGATTGACAGGTCTCTACCAGAGACGTATACGGCGTCTCTACGTCACTCCTCCTCAGTCCAGATATGGTCAGTAAAAAACCAACATGGCGATGGCCAAAATGCCAGACTCAATACTTCAATAATAATAATACATCAATTTTCTATAGCGCTTTTCAAAATACCCAAAGATGCTTTACGAGGCAGAGACAAACTGAACAAACAAACAAAACAAAACAAAAGACCGCAGTACACAAACCAACAACTGACATTGTCATTGGCATTGTGACAGTCTACGGTCTTAGCGTTATATACAGATCTAAGTGTAGCAGGACTTGGGTTTTCGCCCCCTGATGGACATTAGAGAGAATGCAGGTTCAAGATTCTGCAGCATTGGCTTCACCTTTCAGAACCGGAGGTTGCCGCCTTTTAGGACTAAAAGCTAACAGCATTACTCTACGTATCGTCTACAGGCTGTAACAACATGCACTGCAGCCAGTAGTTATCAAGTAGTCAATAGCTTGTTTGGCTAGAAGTAATTTCTGTACTTTACTAATGCAAATATATGATACATATGATCAAAATAGTCTATGTTCTTGAACTTATTCCATGTTTTTCAATGATTAGAAAAAGAGTTCATTGCTAAAACAGACTTGATGTTGTGGACACTCTGAGGAATAGTTAACGTATTAAATCAGCTACGTACCTTTGGAGCGAGGACGTAGAAGTACCCAGTCCCGTTGGCGCGGCAGATAAGCTTGCATTTGTCCTTGGGAGAGATGCCCGAATATTTTGGAACCCAAACCACAGTGGAACCCAGTCTGTTGGTGTTCAGGTTCAAACCATTGAACGCTTCACACTGCTCCTCGCGGAAACTCTTACCTGGAGACGCAAAAAACAGCAACCTCCCATTAGATTGACAACTACTCCAACACTGTTGACCTCTTACAGGATGTGGTTGCAGTTTTGCATTTGACCACTCACTTTGTTCTTTCTGTTCTTGCAGAACGTATGTGCATTTTTCAAAGACGATGGTGGCAGATTTGCTTTTTGAAATTTTTCCCCAAAACAGGTTCTTGAATCCAAACAGAGGTAGACAACAGCAACTTTGAGCTAGCGAGCTAATCAAGCTAACGTTAACTCTAAGGGTTGGTGTCAAACACCGTTCTGGCAGACTGGCAAACGGGGTCCATAGCTCCATAGCTTACATAATTGTTTGCATTTTCAAACTTCACTTTTAATGTTCATCCAGGGCCAAATCCTCCAGTGGATGTGTCAGTCATGAAATGGGGCTTTTCTTGACATATCCTGGAACCCCTCAATTTAACTTTGTGGTTTGCAGGTAATGATAGGTTAAGTTGCTAATATACACCCTTTTACAGTTTGTAAACAATGATGGCGTACGTAAGTGTCATCTGTTGCCCTGAAGCGGTCGTGATCATTGTCTGAACTGTAGAACCGCTTTTGGAATATTGATTCTGACAACCCAACATGCAACAAGCAGACATTTTGATGCTGGTAACAGTTTAAAATCAAATGTTTAAAGCCTGATAACTCATCTGGATGGCCGGGGCAAAACAATACTAAAGTTGATAACATGCACATGCTTATTGTAGATGATTGTTGGCTGTAAAAGGGTCTATAGGTTGGAAGGTAGTTACCTGTTTTTACATTAGGACCGATAGACACAGTTTCATCCATTCCTTACAATTTTGCTCACTTGTTTTTGGTTGCTTCAACTTCTTCAAAGTTAATTGTACAATCACTGTTTGGGGAACATGTTTTTGTTGAATGGTCACAGCCCTTAAAGTGTGTCTTGCTGTGTGAACGTACTCAAACAGAGACTAGTGTACCTGTTTCAGGACAAGTGTTGAGGTTACAGGAGCGATATTTGATGCGAAGGCCGTAGCAGTATTTGCCTCCATTCTCAGGAACGGGGTTGTCACACTCCCTCTTGGCCAGCTGAACTCCTCCACCACAGCTCCGGGAACAACCTCCGAATGCTCCCCACTTCCCCCAACGGCCATCCACCTGGGACAAAAGACAAAACAGGCAAAACGGTACATCAATCTGTGATATAAAAAAAACAACCACCATCAGCACCGGGCTCGCTCTCTGCACACAATCACCTTGATGTGCATGGTGTTGTTCTTATCCGTGCAGGCTCCTCGGTAGCAGACCCTGCCGTTGCCGCAGCCAGTGCCGTCCGCCCAGGGGAAGTGTCGGGTTTGGCAGACCAGCTGGCCGCGGGCCTTCCCGGTGCACCACAGCTTGGAGCAGGGCTGCATGTACGGGCAGGGCTTGGAGCCGGGGCCGAAGGCCAACTCACACTGGCGGTGCAGGCTGTAGCTGGAACCGGGCAGGTTGTCTGAGAGAGACAGCAGCTTTTGAGGCTGGTCCAGCAGACAGTCTCCTGAAGACACAAACCAACAATATTACAACCAATCAGACAGCATTCACATTGAAAACCTTAAAAGCACCAATTTGTATTTTTGTATTTAATATGAAAGGTGTTGCTTGACGAACCCACAGAATATTGTCTCATTTTGCCTCAGCTCTACATGGAGTTTGTGCATCTTTCAGCTCATTGTTTTGGTTTCAAGGCTCGCAACTTTACTTTGCTGCAACTTGTTTCCAGCAGCAGGCAACTGTTTCCAGTGCAAAAGCTAATAAACCTGCTTAACGCTACATAGCACCAAACAGCAAACCAGCAGGTGGTACAGATCCAGATACTTCCCTCAGGAGTTGAAAGAGAACGAAACCTACAGTAGCTAAAGGAAAGGGGATTGTTGGACTTACGTTGTTGGAAAGAAACAAAATGCTGCTGTTTGCTAACCCGTTCACCATATCAACTTATTAATGTGGTAATATGTCAATGTTTTGCTTGTTGCACTGCAGCCATGTGGCCAATAAATCAATACATGTAGCATTAAGGAGAAATTAAACATCTAAATAAAACAATTAACTCAATTACTCTACTACCACAGCATTTTGTGATACAATTTCTGATTCACCCGTCCATAAATCTTAAAGAATATTATAGCTTGGGTTGATGATCTTGAGGAATAACAAGAGCAAACTAGATTTTTTTAAATAACCCAACCTAAAAAGCCAGCCCAGTGTTGCCAACTCTTCTCCAATGAAAGTAGCGAGCAGCACAAGCTTCAAAAGTTGTTAAATGTAGCGAGGAAGTTGTTAGTCCATCCTGTCAGGCCTTCCTCTAAAGCCACTCCCCCCAAATTATTGACATGAATGTAAACAACTAACATGGCTGCTGTTAGTCCTGCAACAGCCACAGATACCATTTTTTTTTGTCAAAGCATTTGACCTATTGATTGCTGTCAAGATGTATTGAGAATTTCAACAAATATAACAAAAAGTGTTTTTGAAGAAGATTACCAACCCTTAAAACCCCTAAAAGACTAAAACAAACTATATTCATTGTCACATGGGAGGAGTGCAGAATGAATTTTGCTCCTTCAGACTGTTGTGCATTAGAAGGGTGCTCCGGCTAGTCCATTTAAGGTAATGTTGACTGCAGGTTGTGCAAGGCTGCAGGACAATAAAACGATGGATTATAACATTAAAAGAACGCTCATGAATGAGCTTTAAACTGTTGGTACTGAATGTTCAGTAACTTTTCCTTCAGTCTGCACAAAGCCAGAATGCAAGCTGTCTATATGAGACGGTACAGGCACCAGATAATGTTTAGATTAACCACATGACTCTTGTAGAAAAGACAGCCGTGTTAAACTTAGTAAATGCTCATTTGCTTGTTAAAGTAAGTGGGCTGGTCGACGGTCACTTATTAGAGTTTACACACAGACAGACAAAGACTTGGCATAAAGGAGCCACTGAGGAGAAAAAGCAGAGTAATATATGAATACACTTTGGAATGTTTTATTGAACGTGGATACTGGAAATGGATACTCTGTCATCATCAGCATATGAAATTACATCTCAAGGAAAAAATACTTCCTCGGATACACTTTATTGAACTCCAGTGTGATTCTGCCACAAAGTGTTTCACATTTCTGTCGAGGCAAGTGAGACTCTGGTATGTGCCAGTTCTATAATGAAATGCTCACATTCTGGCTCAGAAATCTGACATTTGGTGTCTTAGACAACTATTTTCTCTGCTCTCATCTACCACTGTACAATAGTTACTTTATGTCTGGATGTGACAACACCAAAATACAACAAAATATACTTTTCTTTTAGCTCTGATCAGCATATAACGTAAGCGATTATGTCCGTTTGTCATTCGCAAGCATTTCCCAGAGCTTTGCCCGAAGCTGTGAGGAATCAGCTGGGAGCTGCATGTTGTTGTTCAAACAAGATTTCTAGACCATGATGCAGATCCCATGTAAGGTTATTTTGGCTTGGTTTTAACGTGCTTTGGGATCAATTATTTCCTAATTTCATCATGAACTTGTCTGTTAGAGAAAACATTCCTTTTTCTTCAACAGGTCTACTATGACGTGACAACTGGTGTACAAGTGGACATCGGTCAAACGTTGGCGTCCACCAACCAAACGTTGGCGTCCACCAACCAAACGTTGACGTCCACCAACCAAACGTTGCCGTCCACCAACCAAACGTTGACGTCCACCAACCAAACGTTGGCGTCCACCAACCAATCGTTGGCGTCCACCAACCAAACGTTGGCGTCCATCAACCAAACGTTGGCGTCCACCAACCAAACGTTGGTGTCCACCAACCAAACGTTGACGTCCACCAACCAAACGTTGACGTCCACCAACCAAACGTTGGCGTCCATCAACCAAACGTTGGCGTCCATCAACCAAACGTTGACGTCCATCAACCAAACGTTGACGTCCATCAACCAAACGTTGGCGTCCATCAACCAAATGTTGGCGTCCACCAACCAAACGTTGGCGTCCATCAACCAAACGTTGGCGTCCATCAACCAAACGTTGACGTCCACCAACCAAACGTTGGCGTCCATCAACCAAACGTTGGCGTCCATCAACCAAACGTTGACGTCCACCAACCAAACGTTGGCGTCCACAAACCAAACAGATCGGACCTCAGCTGTTTCCACATATGTGTGTCTAGGGCGGGCCTGTTGTGTTTCTGGCCACCTGCTGAATGTCAGTCACATTCACCATCTGTTTTGGTCCTCATCAATTCCCAAGATGAAAATTTGCTAAACGTTCCACTAAGTTTGGCAGATGAACACTAACTTTCTCCTGTTTTTTTCCTTCTGAGCTTTTTTGGGTAAAAACAGTTGCCTGCTGTGGCAAGAAACAAAGTTGGTGAGACTGAGCCAAGAACCTGAAGTTGTGGGCCAGAAAACCAAAACAATGAGCTGAACAAAGCTGTGTACAACACTACAGCGATCGCTGTCACATTAAACAGTGATCAACATATATAAATAGTGATTTCTTCATATAAAAAAGCAAGTAGGTAAGTGCAGCTTTAAAGGGTGTTTAAACATGAACAACTAGCTTCCAAATCCAAAACTCAAATGTGTGATTCCATCAAGTATAAAGTGTGTAACATGGATGTGTGGCCATAGACAATGAATTAAAGATGTTATAGACGACACTTAGAGCAGCCGGGTGAATAGTAGAGTATAAAGTACATTTTCTGTTGCACAGCTGAGAACAATACGATACAATAAAGCTCCTCTGGTTATAGAAAACACTAAATCAGTCTCCCATTCATAGTCTATGAAGCAGCTCCACATTACACTTGATACTTCATACTTCCTTTTCTGGTTCCTGGTTTTGAGAGCGAGCAGCTCATGTTCACAGATATTGATTGAACTTGCCAAGACCATAGAAATATTATATTGGAAATCTACATTTACAAGGTTATTTATTGACATTGTACAACACAGTCGTGCAGCGAAATGCAGTTTGTAGTCACATTTTGCTACAAAAGTCTTTATTATTGGTTGATTGTCAACTTATACAAGGTGTTTAGTTGATATTGTGCTGTTATCAGGTTTTGTCCTCTTGCTATTGGATTTCACTGTGTGATGTACTGTGACGTGTGTCTGAAAGAGTTGACCCGACACAAATAGATACTGTATGTTAAAAAACAAGTGAAATAACATGAATATTTCTTTATATCAGAGTAAAACATAAAATAAGTATATGTGATCACTTCCAATTTGAAACTGATATTGAATATAACCGAGACCGAATAGAGCCAAGGTCTTTCTTTGTGAGCACAATTAGATTACAACCAGCTGAGAGCACGAAGCCTGGACAGAATTAGTGAGTCCAGAGACGCGTACAGGAAGTGTTTACTAACCATGACCTCTGTCCAGGAACTCGGTAATGATAGCGGCGCTGCACACGGACCAGGGACGGCTCCTGTCGATCTGAATCAGTGTGGGAGACATCATGTGGTTGTCCTTTAGTTTCCCAAATACCTCCTCACATGCCTTCACGTTGTCGTGGGGCATGTTGAAGACGTGGCCTGAGGGACGATGGGGGGACAGACAGAAGGTTGTTAGAGTCAAGTAGTAAAAACAAAAGTTAAGTTTAGGCAACAAAACCAACAGTTGGGTTTAGGCAACAAAAGCACATAGTGAAGTTTAGGGAAAACTGTCTCAAATTGTTTGAAAAACCACGACCATAAAACCACTAGGCGGTTTTGAACACGTGTTCTATTTGAACGTCCTGTTTGTTGGATCCACCTCTCCTCCGACCAACAATAATCATTTTTGGGAAATGATAAAGTACATCACGTTGCTCTGACTGTTTCTTAGTCACGTAGATGCATTTCATTTGTGTATCCACCACCAATAAGGATCCTAATTGACTTTCCTTTGCCATTGTTTTCATGCTGACAGACAAAACTGCCACGATACTGGGCTGGACCATTCCGCAGTCTAGGAGCCCCGACCGCAAAGACTCTATCACCTTTATGTGAGAGTCAGGACAACTCGGTACAACAAGTTCCACGCATCCGAGGATCTGAGGGTAAATTGGCAATAAGAGATCTGATTGATTGGAATCAATTTTAAAAGCATCAGGTAGCCAGTGAAAGTAAGCCAGGAGCAGACATGCTCATGTCTGAGTCAGAATCCTAGCTGCAGATTTTGAGATAGTTCTGCTGATGCTAGAGAGCAAAGAGGTTACAGTAATTGAATCGACTAGTTTTGAATGCGTGGATGACGGTTTCCAGATTTTTGGGAGAAAGAAAAGGTCTAATTCTTGAAATGTTTCTGAGACTGAACCTCTGTTTTAACATGTTTGTCCTGGTTGATTAACAGAAAGAGAAACTTTTTATCAGACACCTCAACACACATGTAAGTATGAGGCAAAGCAAACTGGACTGATTTGAAGCTGATGTCATAGCAGACAGGAATGCAGCTATGCATGGGAATATACAGCGCGGCGTATGTCCATGTTCTAAACCGGGCCTGACGGGGGAATTTAGTTCCCAAGGAAATCATTTCACTCCTTAAATACGAACATGAAGTACTTTCCAAAAGAAAAAAAAACAGTGTTTTCAATCATGGAACAGGACCATTTTGGGAGGAAATGACTTAACATATATGAGGACAGTGTAAACCAATTCCTCTCTGGGGGCCTCGGGAGTTACTTGTGCATCTGGTTTCAGGAGTCTTGCTTCTTTTAAAGCCTCAACCACTGATTATAATTTGAAAAAAAATGAAATGTCACTTGTATTATGAATAGGATTTGCCTTAACAAGACAGTTTGTCAAACTACAGAATACAAGTTTAATACCACCCATTAGGTTTTATTGAAAAAGTAGGATTAGCGGTGTTCAACTTCAGCTGCTTTTACATTTACGTTCACAGACTAAAGCCGGTCATTTAGAGCTGAAACAAGGAGATTTGTGAGTCAGCCTACATGACAGATTAATAGAGAAAGAATTGCAGCGCTGTAGATTCCCCTTTTTTGTCCAAATAACAGCATGTACACTCACCTTGAAACAGCTGTTATGTCAATCAATATTTGGTCATTTTAGCTATTTGACAAGAATTTTAGAAACAGTGATTTTAAAATAGAAAAGAATAGTTCAGCATTTTAAGATAACTGATATCAATCTCATGTCTGTGGGTTAAGTAAGAAGCTGGAGCCAGTTTAGCTAGCCTAGCTTAGCATTACAATTGTAAACAGCTAGCTAAACTCTGTCCAGAGTATAAAATATACACTTTAAACTGTGTGATTTCCACAATGTGTCTTGGTGGTTTTAAAGCTGTACATGGAAATATTGTAAAAAGACAATTTAACGGCAGGTATTTCTTGACGAACAACAGTTAATCCATCTGACCAGTACTTCACTGTAGCATTTACGGCTAAGTTGGAAGATACGGTTGAATGAAACCTGGCAACAAGACTTTAGGATGCATGTAGCTGTTTGTATGCCAGGAAATATTTCCATCATGCAAAATATCTCTTTCTGCACAGGTTGAGCAAAGAAAGATACAGCGTATTAATTGGTGAGATTTAGAGGTGTATTTCTAAAGATTGGAAAATCTGGATTCATATTTGATTGGTGATGCCTAGTTTTACAGTTTGATCGGAGTTAACGAGCTTCACCAGCAGTGATTGACAGCTGTGATAAGAGACTGATCAGCTCTGTTTGGTTCTTTTTCTTGGGCTGTGATGGAATCAGGCGTCAACTTCCTGAAGTCATTCCTAAAGTGTG